TTTTAAAAGAACTCTAATTGCCACCTTTGCTGTTCTTCATATAAGCTACTGAGTTAAGTAACTGGGTTTGTTTTAAGCTTGAAAGGACATGGAGTGAAAGAGATGGAACAAAGAGACCCCGTGAATCTAAAATAAGTTTGTGTTTCTGTTTCCTACCCAGATGATGATTGACTTCAAGCACTTTTCTGCTTTGCTTATAGCTGGGTCACCAGCATCTACAGCTGAATCTGGCATATAATAAACACACATTAAATATTTGTTCAATAAATGAATTATATTCTTTGCCGTTTGCTTTGAGATATTTATTGCATGTGTTTTTCACTCTCAACTAAGACTTTAATATTGCTTTATAATGTTCTGTCAGTGTGTTGTGGGGAAGATTACAAATTTCTGGTTTTCCATAATTGTTGATTTAATGAACCAATAAGTTCTTTAGGCTTATAATTTGCAGTGCTAGTTTCTTTTTGCTTTGGTAGGGAAATGTATACATTCTTATTTAGCTATACATTTGTATTCCCCTTGAATTACAGGTTTGTGCTTTGCATTCCTTCTACAAGGTGGGAAACCAGATGGTGTAACCAAATCCTTCTTTTCTAACTTCATCAAAGGCTTTAACTAGGATAATGTTTCTGTTAATTAGATTTGCACATGGAATTTAAAGTACTATTTTAATAAAAGCAAGGCCTAAGGGAAGCTTTTAGATCTTGAAAGATTATTGTTTTCCTGTGCTCAGTAAGTTCCACGTCTCTCCTGAGACAGAGAATTGCTAGGTGGCTTGATGCCCACCACATAACTTTGCCTTCAAAATGGATTTTATCTCAACATCAAGAAAACAAAAATCCACTATGAAGATGGCACCAAAAGTGAGGATGGAAGCTCCTGTCTCTCCTAAAACTGAAGCCAAAGCAAAGGTGTTAAAGGCCAAGAAAGTAGAATGAAAGGTATCGATAGCCACAAAAAAGAAAAGATCCACACATCACCCACCTTCTGGTGGCATAAGACGCTGAGACTCCAAAGGCAGCCCAAAGAACCTTGGAAGAGTGGCCCCTGGAGAAACAAACTGGACCACTCTGCCATCATCAAGTATCTCCTGACCAGAGTCAGCCATGGAGAAGAGAGAAGATAACACTACCTGTTCATTGAGGATGTCAAGGCCAACAAGCACTAAATCAAACAAGCTGCCAAGAAGCTCTATGACATTGATGTGGCCAAGGTCAACACCTTGATTAGTCTCGATGAAGAGAAAGCAGCTTATGCTCAACTATGCTTTGGATATTGCCAGCAAAAGTTAGATCATCTAAACTGAGTCCAGGCAGGCCAATTCTAAATATAAATATAATTATTAATGCTAAATATAAATTTAATTCTAAATTTTTTTCACCAAAAAAACCAAACAAAAACCCCCAAAATCCTCACTACTGAACCAACAGTCAACGTCATAATAAAGAAAAGACCAATGTTGTCAATGATTTGATTTTTACTAGGATCTAAAATAAAAATCCATGCTAGCAGTAGTCAAGAAATCTGTTTCAGTAGAAAAATCTTGTTGAGGACCTCTCCAAAGTGCTAAAGAGCAACAGCATCAGTTTAAAATTAAGATATGCCTGTTCCAAGTTAGGATAAATAGCAAAAGCTGAACAATGAAAAATGATGACTGAAGAAGAATTAATGCTTTTGAACTGTGATGCTAGAAAAGAGTACCGAATAGCTATGAATTGCCCAAAATACAAACATCTGTCTTGAAGGGAGTGTGACTAGGGTGCTTCTTAGAGGCAAGGATGGTGAAACTTCCCTCACATACTTTGGACATGTTGTCAGGAGGGGTCAGTCCTTGGGGAGGAAAAATACCCCACCACGCTGGGAAAGATGGAGTCAGAGAGAGGGAGGAAGACCTTCAGAAAGATAGACATTGTTAACAAAGAGTTTAAATAGCTTAAGAATTGAAAGGACGGTGCAGAATAGGGCAAGGTTCTGATCTCTTGTTCTTAGGGTTGCTGTGAGTCAGAGTTGGCTCATAAAAGAACAACAACAACAAGTTGACAACAACAGCAACTTTGATATATCATTAAAAAATATATCTATTTTCCCTAGTAAGAGATCCTTTTATAAGTTGTGTACAATTTATAGCAACCCTATGAACAGTAGATCTGTACCCTGTCCCATCCTGTTGCCATTCTCATGATTTCTGACACGCTGAGTCCATTGCAGCATTTATTGTGTCCATCCTTTTGGTTGAGGGACTTCTTCTCTTTTGCTGACCCGTCATATTTCCAAGCATGATGTCTCTCTCTAAGGAATAGCCTCTCCTAAACATGCCAAAAATATGTGAAATGAAGCTTTGTCATCCTAACCTCCAAGGAATACTCTGGCTGAGCCTTCTCTAAGATAGATGTTTGTTCTTTTGGCAGTCCATGGATTATTCAGGGCTTTTCTTCAGCACCACAAGACAAAGGCATCAATTATTTTTCTGTCATCCTTATTAATTTTTGGGCTCTCAGATACACAGTAAGTGAATGAAAAGACCATAGTCTGAATCAGGTGCACCTTATTCCTCATACTGGTATTGTCCCTCAGTGATTTGGAGAGGTCCCCAACAGCAGAATTGCCCAATGCAATGTCTCCTGATCTCCTGACTGCTGGTACAGAAGGTATTCATTGTGGATCCAAGTAAGATGAAGCCAATGAGAGTTTCAATATTTCTCCATCTATCATGATGTTGTTTATCAGTCTAAGGTTGAGAAATTTTGTTTTTCTTGATCTTGAGATGTAATCCATATTGCAATCCATCTTCTGCAATAAGCATTTCAAATTCTCACTTTTAACAAGCAAGATTGTGTCATCTTCATAAGGCAGGTTGTTTATGAGTCTCCCTTTGATCCTGATGCCACATCCTTCTTCATAAAGTACAGTTTTATGAATAATTTTCTCAGCATACATATTGAATACGTATGGAGAGAGGATATAACCTTAACTTACACTTTTTCTTATTTTAAATCAAACAGTATTCCCTTGCTCTGTTAAAAACCAGTTTTTTCATCTTGGTTTCATATGAGCACAATTAAGTGTTCTGAAATTCCCATTCTTGTCAAGGGTAGCCATAGTTTGTTGTGATCCACACAATCAAATGCCTTTCTATAGTCAATAAAGCATAATATACATTCTTCTGGTATTCTCTGCTTTTAACCAGCATCCATTTGACAGTAGCAATGATATTCCTGGTGCCATGGCCTCTTCAAAGTGCATCCTGAACTTCTGTCAATGTATTATTCTAGTAGTTTTTGAAGTTCTTTAGCAATATTTTGCTTGCAAGTGATATTGCTTGATAATTTCTACATTATGTTGGATCAACTTATTTGGGAATAGAAACAAATATTGATCTCTTCCCGTCAGTTGGTGAGGTAGCTGTCTTCCAGATCTGCTGATACAGTCTGATGTCCAGGGCTGCATCCGTTAGTTGAAACATATCTATTGATAGCCCATCAATTCCTGGGACCTTCTTTTTCTTCAGTGCAGCTTGAACTTATTCCTTCATCATCACTAGATCTTGAATATATGGTACTTCCTGAAATAGTTTAGTGTCAGCCAATTCTTTTTGGTACAGTGACTCTATGTATTCCCTCCACCTTCTCTTAATGCTTCCTGGATCATATGAGATTTTGTCCATAGCATTTCTCAGTAATGTAACTTGAGGTTTGAATTTGGTTTTCCATTCTTTCATCTTGAAAAATGCCAAGAGTGTTCTTCTCTTTTTATTCTCCAATTACAGCTCTGTGCACATTCTGTTACAATACTTTGCTTTGTCTTCAGGAGCCACCCTTGTAAATATCATGTTCAGCTCTTTTACTTCAGCATCTCTTACCTTTGTTTTGACTTGTTGGACTCTCTTGTGAAATTTTCAGTCTCATTTGGCATACATTTTGGGTTTTACTTTCTCCTTCATCTTTGTAATGTCCTTTTGCTCTCTTCTTGGATGAAATGCTTGTTGTCACCCCACAGTTCCTTTTGTCTGTGATCATATTTAAGAAATAAAAAAATAGCAAGCTCCAATTTGATAGTACTAGTAATATTGTCATTCATCTTGCTTCCATGCCAGCCTAGTAAACAATTTGAGGGCTGTCCTGGATTTCTTCCATGAGAATTGTTAACAAAAGGACAATAATTATATAGTACTGTCACTCATAATGCAAAGGTGTTAGAATATAGCAAATCATAGAGAATTATTGGAATAAAGTAAAGGTTTGTGAATTTTTATTTTATTTTATTAATTTTAATGAACATTTACAGAGATTTTAGATTTCCATTCATTCATTGCTGCACTTTTCTCCCTGACCCGAGCCCCAGTTCACTCTTCTCTTTGAAAAGTGAAAGAAAAATTCCGTCATTGGTATAGAATCTCCCCGCCACCCCACCGCCCCCCAACCCCGAGTACACTCCACTATGCAACCTTGATTCTGGATTCTTTTGATAACCATAATACCTTATCATATATTGCTTTTAAACTGTTCTCTCTCTCTCTTATCTGTGTCAATGCTGTATACATAATTTATTCAGTTTTCCTCAGTCTTACTCCAACTCTGATGTCAGTCAGTCGCATTCTACAACAGTGGCACTATGCAATATTTGTCTTTTTGTGACTGAGATATTTCACTCAGCATAATGTCCTCCAGGGTCACCCATTTTGAAAAATATTGCATGAGTTCCTTGTTTTTCCAATACAGCGTAGTATTCCATTGTGTGAATATGCCACACCTTCTCTATCCATTTGTTTGTTGATGGGCATTTGGGTTGTTTCCAGCTCTTTGCTATTGTGAACAAAGCCGCGGTAAACACGGGTGTGCATATATCTGTTTGGAGGTCAGTTATGGCCTCTTTGGGGTATATTGCCAGTAGTTGAATGGCTGGGTCAAATGGTATGTCTGCTTGCAACTTTTTGAGAAAGCGAAGGTCTGTGAATTTTGAGTTGTTGACTAAATTTATGTGTTATGATATTTATCTTTCAGGTCAGGTACTCCGGCTGAAAATGTTTCGAGAGGATCATGGGTCATGGATGACAATGTTCTTCAGCACAATTCTCTTTCTCTTCATATTTTCTCACATATACAACACGATTCTTCTAATGGATGGGAACATGGGGTAGGTTATCTTTCCCCTTTCTACTGTGGTGAGTGTTATATTTGAAACTCATAAGAATTCAAGGAGAATCTAATTTGTAGTAGTCTTATTTATAAAGTCTCCTTTATAAATGTTTATATATCTTATAAAATCTTCTTTATAAATAAACCTTAAAGTTTCCTCCAAAATGGACATATTATGTGCATTTTTCTTTAAGATAATTAAACTTAACATCTCTCACCCTCAAGAAGAAACGTATAGCATTTTACAGTTTTATAATACTGTGTTTCTTACTCTTTAAGACTTCTTTGTGGGGAGAGATTGGAAGCATCTACTTACATAATTATAATGACAGAAAGCATGGGAATTGGGAAATCTTATTGATGTGTTTATATTCACAAAGTCAAAAAGCAAGGCTAAGATGAATGTCTTCAGTTTGCAACTTCATTGTTCTAGGGTGCCTGGTGAACTAAAGAATTTGATACTGGTGACTTTTCTTTCTCTCAGACATTCCCAACAAAGATACCTTTGTTCTAAATGGGTCATTTGAAAAGTGAGTCATTCTGTATTAAATCCAGTCTTGTGATCTCCATTTATCACATCACTAATCAAATCACCATGACAAGAAGACGTGCTAACAAGTAGACTGTAGATTTTTATTTTTTACTTTCCCCAGTTCTTTCATTATACAATAACACACAAGAACTGATCTTTCAGTTTAACTTCCTTCTGGTTGCTCTGAGTAAATTCTCAGGGCAGGATTATACAGAAATTGCTTGGTTAACAGCATTAAGAATGAAATGAATTACAACAATAAATTATCTTATTTATTTGGTGTGCACTGAACTAGTTCCTAAGAACACTTTTAATCTAGACTTTCCAATATATCTGAAAGCTAGAGAATACACTTCCCCCCCCCCCCCCGAAAGTAGGCTAAGTGAAGTTGTTTAGTTTTACAATGCACATTTGCTATGAAGAGAGTTGGGTTACCACTGATCAATACTAGGAAGGATAGCTCAATTAAAGTGTAATGGTTTTCCTCTACCTTGAAAGGAGATTAACAGTAAAAGGAAAACAGCTACTTCACAAGGTTTATATTTAGTCCATATTAACAAGTGGTAAACACAAGAATTTGCTTTTGAATTGACTTTCTAGACTTTAGGAAGTTATTAAATGTTTTGTCTGTAATTGTTCATTAAACTAGATTAATGCTGTTAATAATTAAGTAAATCTTGTTCTTTTATTTTTAAAGTGAGTTAGTTATACCATCTTTGAACTGACTGTATGCATGTCAAAGCAGGAATGTATGATAATTTCTTAAATTGCATGTTTATACAAGTTTTTTGGGGGTACTCCAGGGAACAACACATTATCTGAGGTATTTCCTTATCCTCTGAGGTCAGCTCTGGTGCTATGGTCCATGGGGAGTTGCACTGCTAACCCCAATGCAACACCTCTCTGCCAGTTTGAATCCACAGTAGATTCAAGTGTGAGAAATGGGCCTTCTCTACCCATTTAATTTACAGCTTTCAAAAATTCACTGGTGTTAGCTGTGAATTGGTTCACTAACTGGAATGCTAGCAATGAGTTGAGCTGAGTTTGCAGGCCAGTGTATGATCTAGTTGGGGTGTGTGGAGAGGACAGTGGCACACAGACATCAAAGATTGCCGGACTTTCCACTACAGAAATGCTGATAGGAGAGAAGAATTTAAAATTCTTTTTTTAAAAATTTTTTTTAATTTATTTATTTTTTTTTTTATGGCCTGGCGGTGCCGGATCTGCTCCGCTCTTACCGACTTTCCCTTGGTAGCGGTAATGAACCACGAACCAGAAAGCCGCGGCACGTGAGCCACCGTGCTCCACCAGTGAGCTACATCTCCAGACCCAGAATTTAAAATCCTTAAACTAAATCTATTGCATAAGGAATTCTGATGTGTTGTGGTTTGTAGACTTCTTTAGGATTATTGACCTAGAACCATTCTCAAAACAATTTCAAGGATTTCCTATGATGTTTAGACTGGTTCTGAGTTTCCTTCTATAATTTTATAATTTAAAACAAGAATCTTTAGGCCTGGAATGAGTGAGTTTAGGTTCCAGGAAGAAAATAAAAGAGGTTTTCTAGACAAATGTGTTTGTGTGAGAGAGATAATTTTAGGATTGAGTAAAAGAAAAATGGAAGTTTTGCATCTAGGAATTTTATGTGCCACAAGGTGACAGACAACGTAGCTTGAAGCCTCTCTTACTACAGAATCTCAAGAAACACTGCAGAATATGCTACAGGTCCATATGCCCTTCTTAAAGATATAGCTGCACTAACTAAAAAGAACATAAAACTCTTCAGGGGCCAAAAATGAAGACACAGCTGAGAAACAGAGTTGTGAGCTAACCTACAGAGAAAGTGACTTAGAGACTTAAATTTTAACTCATGTGTATAAAGCTCTGGTGACCAAGTGGTAAGAGGCTGAATTATGGGAGAAAGATGGGTAATAAGCTGCTATGTGATTTATTGACTCTAAAAACCTGCTGGAAGGTCAGTTATAAGTTGAGTCTGAATGATGGTACATAATATATAGAGACCAGAGATAGGACTTTGGGCTCATATTAAATTAGAAACCAAAAGGGAAATGCTCACATTATAGAGTCCTACAAAGTGCAATGGAGAGAAAAACAGACTTAAGAACAACTATATACAAAAGCAGGCTTCAAGGAAATATATGCATGGTGTATGCCCAAAGTATGTGATGTTACTATTAGGTGTTGACAAGTTGCTTGTGACTCCGAGTGACCCTCTGTACAACAGCTCTGAACCCTGCCAATTTTATTTTATCTGACATATCTACCCTATAACTCCAGTCACTGAGTCAATCCATCTCATCCGAGGTCTTCCTTTCTTGCACTGTCCCTCCACCCTTCCAAGCATGATGTATTTCTCCAAGGACTGGTCCTTCCTGGAAACATGCCCAAAGTATGTGGGATGGAGCTTCAAAATACTTGCCTCCAAGGAGAAATCTGGTGTTACCTTTTCCTGGACAGACGTATTATTTGTTGTCTGGGCAATCCACAATATGTTCAGCACTCTTCTGCAGCACCACCATTCAAAGGCATCTATTCTTTGTTATCCTTAGTTTACTTAAAAAAAGAAAAAAAATATTGTGCTTCAGGTGAAAATTTACGGTGAATGGATTCCCCTTTAATAATTTTTATACAAATTATCTCATGGTATTGGTTACAATTTTATAATGTGTCAGCACTCTCATTATTTGTCTGTTGATTGTGTTTTCATTGATCTCACCTTCTCTTCCAAGTTTTGTCTTCTTATCTCTGCTTTTATATACTTGTTGACCATTTTTCTAACATTTAATTTTGTAAGGGGGCACATTACTCACTGATGATACAGTTTATTTTATAAGTCAAAACTGTTAATTGGTTGAAAATTGATGTTCTTCAATTCCAGTTGAAATAGCTTTACTTCCAAGTTCAAATGGTATCTTAAGGCAGTAATCTAAGGTTTCTTCCAGTTTCTGTTGGTCTAGAAGACTGTCCCATTTTAGGAAAATGGACATTCTCTACATTTCCCTTCTTGTTCTATCCAGGACCCTCTACTCTGTCCCTGGCCAGCACGGTTGGTAGTGGGACCCATGAAACATCCAATTCTTCTCATCTCAGGTTCCAAGAGATTGTAGTCTGTGTGGGCTGTTGATTCTCTGCACTAGTTTTCCTTTGAGCTTTTGATTTCTTCCATTCTCTTTTGCTCCCTACAAGCAGAGACCTACACTTATATCTTAGATGATTGCTTTCGAGTTTCTAAGACCTAAGATGCTACCTATCAAACATTATTTTTTGAACTGTTATACCGACTAACTAATATAACTAAGTTGTCCCCTGAGACAATAGTCTCAACCCTTTGACCTACTAAACTAATCCTGAAAGTTGTTTGGATATGTCTAGGAAGCCTCTGTTAAGGTGCTACCTATATAGTTTGTTATATTTTGAAATATATGTGCATCACATACAAATATGTGTGTACATTGTTGTTATGGGCCATTAAGTTGCCCACACCTCAGTGACCTTATGTATAATAGCTCTGAACTCTGCCTCTCTTGAGCCAGTCTCATTGACACCAACACACCCACCCCCATTACCTCAGTTACTATGTCAATCCATCTCATCCAGAGTCTTCCTTTCCTGTGCTGTTTCTCCAAGCATGATGTCCTTCTTCATGAACTAGTCACTACTGACCATGTGCCCAAAGTATGTGAAATGGAGCTTCAGAATCCTTACCTCCAAGGAGAAACTTTGTTCCACCCTCTCCAAGACAGAGCTGTTTGTTCTCTTGGCTGTCCATGGTGTGTTGAATGCTCTTCTCCAGCACCATAACTCAGAGACATAGATTATTCTTCTGTTATCCTTAGTCATTGTTCAGCTCTATGATGCATAGAATGTAATTGTAAAGACCATAGTCTAGATGAGGTGCACCTTATACAAATACCTATATATATGCATATAAATTTACTCACATATGCCTTCTTATACATAAATATCCATCAGTACATGGAAGCAGGAGTGGCAGCCACTTCCTAAATAACATGCCTCCAGAAGTTCTATGAACTTTGATAAATGTCGATAGTTATAGAGGGATTTCAGGCTTTTGTTCATTGGGTCGCTATGAGTCGTGTTTGACTTGAAGGCAATCAACAACAGCAATAACATGCACCTAACATACCCATACAAAAATTTGGTTATTTTAACTGTCATTCAATATTGTTTATAACATTTACCAAAGTTGGCCTTTTTCCTTGTGTACTACAAATTTTTTTACCTTGATTAAGTTGCACTGACTTCACTTACATTTAGGGGATTGCTTTTCAAATTATAAAATAATAACAAATGTAGACTATTTAGAAAGTGATTTCCCCTTTCCCCCCCAATAGTTTATTTTGAAAACAATGTTTTCAAAAACAAATTCTCTCAATTTCCCTCAAATAACCCCCCCCCCCACACACACACACAATTGTTCAACC